ATGGCGACCCTCCCGCCGCCACCCGCCCCGTACGCCCGACTCCCCTGGCCGACCCCGGGGGGGGGGGCTCGGTCGTTCCGGGCCCGCTGCGGGATGGGCCCCCTGGAGGCCGAGACTTGCAGCAGCAACGACGACAGCAGCAACAACAGCAGCAACACCAGCACCACCAACAACAGCAGCAGCAGCAACAACAACGACAATGAGTTTGCCCTCACGCGCGATGATTCCACACGAAGCATGCGACCATCATCATAACCATCCACATCATGGGGGACTCATGTTCTATAGCTGGGTCCGTTAATCCCATTCCCAGATCTGCCGCCCAATGAGGTCTTGCGGAACACCTCCTCCGAGGAATTTCAACATATCCCGCCTCGAAAACACATGCCCGCGCCTTGCTGCGCCGATGCGAGACCGCCAGTGGAACCCCAGCGAAGGGTAAAGCACAAGGAAATATCGAACGACAGGATTGCCTTGGTGGGGATGGGGGCTGTCGGCGGTGAGGCAAGGACCTGGCCCTGAATAGAAAAGGAGGAGGTCTCGAGCAGGGCTGCTGTTGTTGCTGGGAGCGGCGCCAATGCTGAAGAGAGTAGGGCGCTAGTCCAGCGTAAAACAAAACGAAGTCTCGAGCGGGAACGCTGGTTTTGTTTGGACGGCGGCTTTCGGCGGCGACGAGGAACACCGCCTTGAGTAAGAAAGGAGGAAGCAACGAGCGGGAGCTGTGGTTTTGCCGGGACGGGGGCTGTCGGCGGCGAGGAACAGCACCGTCCCGAGGAAAAAGAAAGGAAATCTCGAGCGGGAGCGTTGTTCTTGCTGGGGGCGGCGCCAATTCAAAAGAGAGTAGGGCGCCAATCCAGCGTAAAACAAAACGAAGTCTCGGGCGGGAGCGCTGGTTTTGTCGTGGCGGCGGCTTTCGGCGGCGAGGAGGAACGCCGCCTTGAGTAAGAAGGGAGGAAGCAGCGAGCGGGAGCCGTGGTTTTGTCGGAACGGGGGTTGTCGGCGGCAAGAACAGCGACGTCTTCAGGAAAAAAAGGAAGAAGCCTCGAGCGGGAACGTTGTTGCTGCTGGGAGCGGCGCCAAATCAAAAGAGAGTAGAGCGCCAGCCCAGCGTAAAACGGAAAGAAGTCTCGGGCAGGAGCGCTGGTTTTGCCGGGGCGGCGGTTTTCGGCGGCGAGGAGGAGCACCGCCTTGAGAAAAAAAGGGAGGAAGCCTTGAGCGGGAGCGTTGTTTTTGCTGGGGGCGGCGCCGATGAGAGAAAGACTAGCGCGCAAGTCTAAGGTAAAACGGGAGAAGGTCTCGAGCGGGAGCGTTGTTGTTGTTGGGGGGCCGGTTTTGGCGGTCCCCCAAGCCCCTTGAGCGTGAGCCTCATTTTCAATGATAATGTAGCCGGTGCCTCGGCGAGAGCGCCAGGGCGCCTTTACGGGGTCCAACAATAATAGCTTAGTGGTTAACACTCAACAACAACAGCAACAGCAAGAACAACAACAACACATGGAACCCCCTCTTCCTCCTCCCCCAACCCTTGTCCTTGTCAATGACTCCTCCCTGTCACACCCCCGGACGCGTCGGTGGGGCGGGTCGGGCGTTTTGCCTGAATCTTGAATTTGAACCAGTTTCGAAGATCGAGGGTGGGCGGTTTTCAACATGTGGTTCTCGCCCCAGCGCCGCGCACGTTCGTCCCGGAAGTCCGCACCTGTTCCAATGATGGGGGGCGGCTGGGTTTCAAAATGTGGCTCTCGACCAAGCGACGCTCACACTCCTCTAAAACATGTGCAACAGCTTCAAGGCAGGAGGGCGGGTGATTTTAAAAATGCTGCTGTCGCCTCAGCGCCGCGCATACTCATCTGGGAAAGCTTGCAGCAACTTCAAGAATGGAGGGCGGGTGGTGTTCAAACTGCGGCTCTCGCCTTAGCGCTGCGCACGTTCATCTTCAAACTCTGCAGCAGGTGATAGGGTGGATGGCGGTTCCTTTTCAAAATGGGGCTGTCGCCGTGGCACCACGCGCATTCGCAGCAACAGTCTGCAGCACTTTCAAAGTTTCGCATGGGTGAAGTCCCATGGACGGTGTCCACGCACGGTTCGGGATTGCCAGGGCGCAACAGTCACGGTGAATCGTGGTGCTGCCAGGACTGGCGTGCTGGCGCGGTTGAAGATTACCATGACGCGATGGTCACTCTGGTTCGCCGTGTTGGTGTCTCTGGAATACTGTTTGTGCCACTGCTGGGGATTATGAGACGGGTGTCTTTCAACAGGGCACTTCCTGCAAATGCAAGGACCCATGGAGAGGGAATGTGGAGGGAGGGTTTATTGCAGCATCGCTAATGCGTCTTGGAGTTACTCTGGTCCTTTTTGACGTAACTCGGGCTTGGTGTGCTGGCACAACACGTTCTGGTAGGAACCAAGACCGACTTGACGATGCGGTCAGAATTACCCTGGTCCTCCTCCTCCTCCTCCACCTCCTCCTCCTCCTTCTCTCAGCGTCGCCCTCCTCCCTCGGCTGCGTGCTGAAGAGAATGCCGACGGTGGAAACTCCCGCCGGGGCGGTGAGAGGCCTCTCCGCGGGCCCCTCCCCCGAACAAAAAGGGCAAGGAACGCGCTCGAACGCATCGATCCTCGGAGCTCGACGCTCGATCCTGGGAAGCCTGGACCAGCCGGGGAGGAGGATTTCACTGGATTTCGCTGCCCTGATCCCCACAGCTGTGCAACACGCACCGTGGCAACGAAACACAGCGTCTCCTACCCCAGGCCGTACAAGCGGAGGAGGAGGAGGCGGAAGAGGAGGAGGAGGAGGAGGAGGAGGAGGAGGAGGAGGAGGAGTCGAGCGTGCGGAGGGGGAGGCTCCAGGCTCCCGACGGCCGCGCCCCGCGCGGCGCCAGCAGCCCCCGCGCCGCGCTTACCTGCTCACAGGTAGCGCGCCTGGAGGAGGATGCAGATCATCTCCTCGAACGTGAACTGGAGGCTGATCGTGATCAGCGGCGGCTCCGCGGAGCCGAAATGGATGAAGTCCATAGGCATCTCCCACGCGATGCCGATCAGGTGCAGATGGTTGTCCGTGATCTGGAGCCGCCCCATCACGACGGCGGCGAAGGTGGGGCCGCAGCACGGGAGGCGGCTTCTTCATGGACCTCGTGGCCCTCAGTGCCGCCCTGGCGGCCGTCAGTGTGGCCTCCGCCGAGACGTGGTTCTCCTGCCTGAGGGCGTGGTACGCGAGGCAGGCAACTGCGATGGACTCGGCGCTCTCGTTGGACTGGTCGGTGAGGCCGAGCTTCGCGAACTCGGTGGAGAGGGCGGCCGCGCCGCATGCACGTCCCACAGCCTGCGCCAGTGGCGCGCAGACCAGGTAGTGGCGCATCTTGTCTTGGCCATTGGCGCAGCCGAAGATGCACGGGCGCCTACCGCACGGGTAGGCGATGCGGTAGGATGTGAGCCATGAAAAGGGCAGTGTCCTCATCCACGCTGTCGCCCACGATGGGGGCAGTCTCTTCATGGCGGCCTGGATGTCTTGCATGATGGAGGGGTTGTGGAAGAAGAACTCGCCAGCGTGCGGGAGCTCCTTCACGATGCGGTCCTGCAGGAAGGGCCCGATGCGGTCGGGCCCGCTGGTGGCCAAGGCCGAGTCGAAGGCGTGCTTCTGCGCAAGGCCAGGCTGCTCGTTGGCGACAGCCGCCCGCGAGGCCTCGACCGCTGGCGCCACGATCTGGCGGGGGTAGTACACGTGGTCAGAGGTGGCCGACACGATCTGGTGCATCGTCTCCACGAAGGCCTGTGTCTTCCACCACGGCGGTGAGAGATGGAGAGCACCTCGCGCGGCGCCCCCGAGGGTCTGCTGGATGCCGTAGGAGTTCAAGCCCTCGTGCAGCCTCTCGCGGATCTCGGTGAACTTCTTGAATGTCGAGGTCGCCGCGCGGACGATCGTCGCAATCATGCTGAGCTGGAGCGACCTCGGTGCGGGAACTCCCCAGTTCTTCAAGAAGGGCCAGTCCTTCAGTCTGAAGGCACCGTTCGGGAAGCGCAGGAGGAGGAGGAGGAGGAGGAGGAGGAGGAGGAGAAGGGGAACGAGGAGCAGAAGGAGGCCCCCACCCTTTCGGGCGCCCCCCTCCTTGGACGCCCCCCTCCTCCTCCGAGGCCTCCTGGATGGTGTCCGAGTGGATGGGGTCGGAGGATCTCGCCGCATCGCCGATGCATCGGCAATGCTCTGGCGACGTCGGCGCTGCATCGCCGACGTCGGCGCGGCGAAGATGGGGCCCCACATCGAGCCGCATCGCTGGTGCATCGCCGATGCATCGGCGATGCGGCGCGATCCTCCGACCCCATCTACTCCGACCCCATCTAGGAGGCCTAGACCAGCCAGGGCCATGCAGCGAACCCGGGCGGACTACGAAGTTGCTCCCATACCTGGGTCGTCGGAGCGTCGGAGGAGGGGTGGATGGGGCGGCTTCGCACGAGGCGGCAGGGGGCCCTGCCTTGAAGAACAAACATATGTTGGGCGCATCTGTTGGCGTCCGCAGGCTTTCCGCCGCCTAGAGCTGTGAGAGGGAAGGTAACCCCTGGATCCCATCGAGCGCGGGGCCCTGCCTGGAGCGCCTCGCGTGGTCCCCCCAAACGCGGGCCGACCACAGAAAGGATCCCAGAGGGCACCGGCTGACCCCCCGGTTGGCGCTGACCCCCAGTGCGTGTCACCGCGACCTCTTCCTCCCTCAAAACTCTTCGAACCTCCCTTCCTCCTCCTCCTCCTCCTCCTCCTCCTCCTCTTCCTCCTCCTCCTCCTCCTCATCCTCCTCCTCCTCTTCCTCCTCCCCGTCCTCCTCTTCCTCCTTCTGTCTCCCTCACCCTGTCTCCCTCGTCCTGTCTCTCTCTCACCTCCTATACCCCTCCTCCCGTTTCCCTCCTCCCGTCTCCCTCCTCGTCCTCCTCCCCCTCCTCCTCCTCCTCCCCCTCCTCCTCCTCAGCGTCCGCCTCGCCCTCCCTAATTCATCCCGTCGCCCACCGGGGCGGGGAACCTCAGCCGCTTCACGCCCACCGCGACCGAGGCCTCCAGGCCGCGTATGAACGATGGCGCGAACAGGCCCCAGTCCTCGCCGCGGCCGCAGGGCCGAGAGCAGGAGGACGACGAGCAAGAGGAGCAGGAGGAGCAGGAGGGGGAAGGGGGAGGAGGAGGGGGAAGGGGGAGGAGGAGGAGGAGGAGGACGAGGACCTGAGTAAACCCAAGACGGATCGGCGATGCTGCCATAAGCCGTTCCTCCAAGTGCCCTCTTGACATGTCCCTGCAAGAACTCGTACTCGTTGCGGGCTGTGCCCCGAAGACAGCCGTCTGAGAATCCTCAATCGTGCCAGAGCGCCTTTCTTTGGACCTCAACGCCGCGAATCCTTTGCGTCCAGAGAATCCTCAACCGCACCAGGACACCACTGATAGGACTTCAGCGCCGCGAATCAACGTGACTGCTGCGTCCTGACAGTCCTGAAGTGTGCCAGAACACCGTTCCTGGGACTTCGACGATGCGAGCCCCTGAAACGGTTGCAAACTGTTAAAATGGATGTGCGCAGCGGTAATGCCATAGTCACATGCTGAAAAGAAGCCGACCTCCATTCCTGAAACTGCTGCAAACTTTCGAGGTGAATATACGCGGCGTTAGGGCGATTGAAAGCGTGCCGCCTTCCGTTATTGGAAGTGCTGCAAACTGTTAAGTGCGCGGCGCTAAAGCGAGAACCACAATTTGAAAACCAGCCGACCTTCATCCTTGAGACTGCTGCGACTTCATGCTTCAGGATCGCACATGGTGAAGTCTCAGTCGAAACGCCCGGCCCACCCTACTGACACACCTGGGGGTGCGACAGGGAGGAGTTAGAACAAAGGAATTGGGATGGAGATGGAACAAGAGGACGAAAACGAAAGCGGGAGGACAGGGAACAGGGGGAGGAGAGAGGAGGAGGAAGGGGAGGAGGAGAACGAAGAGGCGGAAGAGGACGACGATGAATTAACACACACGAATAACAAGTATAGATGCACAAAAGATGTTACCAGCTCGCTTCGATTCGCCTGTAATATCTTGATCGCATGGGGCCAGCGAAGCGCGCTGCGACCGGTAGTCGCCAGCACCGTGGCGTGTTCCGGCAATGGGGCCCACGGGGCACGCAAGGCTGACAGGACCCTTGGGCTCCTCTAGGCCCGAGGTCCGAAAGGCTTTCCACCGCCATTGGGGCCCAAAAGCTCAGAGCGCGCATGTGGAAGGGGGGTACTTCGGGCAGCGCGGCCTCTGGGGATCATGAGGTTCCGAGAGCCCGCAGCCGCAGTTGAACTCCGAGGGTTCCTCGGGCTGATGAGCCCAGTGGGCGTGGAGGCTCGTAGGGTCCTGGGCCTCACAGAGGCCACTGGCTCTTGGGCCCCATAGTGGGTCGGCCCGTAGCTTCTGAGAGGCTCCTGGACCTCAACAGGGTAAGTCTAGCAATTCTGCCCAGGAGGCTCATAGCATTCAGAGCGGGTCGTCGGGGCCATGAGGCTCACAGGGCCGACGGGGCTCCTATGGCTCACAGGGCTCCGAGGCTCGTGGGAGCCGCACGGGCCGTGGGACCCATGAGGCCGATAGGGCGCATGGGGCTCGCAGGCCGCAGGAGGGCTAGATGAGGCCTAGAAGCGACATGGGGCCCATAGGGCTTGCCGGGCCCGCAGGGCTCAGAGGGAGGGCTCGTCGGGCTCCTAGGGCTCACAGGGCCCACAGAACCCATAGGGCTTACTGGGCCCATAGAGCTCGCATGGCTCGCAGGGCTCACGAGGCTTCTATCCATCGTAGGCTCACAGGCGACACTGGTCCCATAGGGATTATAGGGCACAAAGGGCTGGTAGGCCCCTGCGGCTCGCACGGTCCATGGGGCTCATACGGCTCATAGGGCTCGTGAGCGTACGTGTTGCAGCGGGCTCGTAGGGGTCACAGGGCGGACAAGGGCAGATGGGGCTGTGAGGGCTCGCAGCGCTGACGGGGTCGTAAGGCTCGCAAGGCTTGCAGGGCTGGCACGGTGGTCGGGCTCCTAGGCGTCGCAGGGCTCGGGAGCTCATTGGGCTCGCGGGCCCGTGAAGCTCCTCTTCAACCGCGTCATGACGTCCACTGCCTTGTCGTGCCTGTCGTGCAACTGGTGAGTGGATGGACCTCCGAGGGCTCTGGGGAGAGGCTTCTCGGGGGCCCCCTGGGGGGGGCGCACGGGGCCCGAAGGGCCCACGGCGCCCTCGGAGCCCGTCCCGCGGGGCCATGCGTGCGGGCGGCCTCGCGGCCTCTTTGGGCCGCCTCGGGGCCTCCTTGACAGCTGGCTGCGCCGCTCGCACTATGTGAGAGCGCGGGATCGCGCGCTCAGGGCTTGGGAGCGTCTTGCTGATTAGGCTTTGGCACGTGATTGAAAACGGCTACCACGCAACCTCCCACAAACTGATGAAGGTGGCCTCTCAAGGCCTTCGTGGGGATCCTTTTGGGGCTCTTTTGGGCCGTCTGGCGGCCTTCCTGGGCTGTCCTGGGACCCGCCGTCTAGGAGGCGTTTGGACCGGCTTGGGGTCCTTTTGGGGAAATGTGTGCGCCGTCCTGTGACGATCTGTGGGGTCTCTCAAGCCGTCTTGGACGCCATGGAAACCAAAGAAGCGAATATGTTGAACCTGCACGTTTCTCTAAGGGAGTGGTGCGATGTGTGCGTCTTGGGGGTCCCCCTGGGGGCCTCTCGAGACGTCTCGGGGGCCTCTTGGGGGCCTCCTGGGCCGTCTTGCCGCCACCTCAGGTCCTCCCTCTCTGAGCGCTCGTGGGCCGTGCTGGAGCGGCCTCGGGCCGCGTCGGGGCTCCGCGGGGCCGTCCGGGAAGCGATCCGGGGCCCGCCGAGGCGGAGAAAGGACGGCCCGGAGGGCAGCCGCGTGGGTCGGAGCGCCCAGGGCCGAGCTTATGTTCGGGGGGTCCTGCCAAAAATATTCGGTGAGGGATAAAGGGTGTATGTACATAGAAGTACATGCATAAACCAGTTGTAAGCATGCATGCGTGCATGCATGGATGTGTGCACGGGTGGCTGTACGTGTGTATGATGCTTGTATGTTTGTATGTGTGCCTGTATGTTTGTATGGTTGTTTGTTTGTATGGTTGTATGTGTGTATGTTGGTTTGGTTGTTTGTTTGTTTGTCTACCCGTGTGTGTTTGTTTGTATGTGTGTAAGTATGCGTGCATGCATACATGCATGCATGCATGTATGCATGCATGTATGTGTGTATGTATGTATGTATTGTTGTATGTATGTGTGCATGCATGTATGCATGTGTGCATGTATGCATGTATGCATGCATGCATGTATGCGTGTATGCATGTATGCATGTGTGCATGTGTGCATGTGTGCATGTGTGCATGTGTGCATGTATGCGTGTATGTATGTATGTATGTACGTATGTATGTATGGATGGATGTATGGATGTATGGGTGTGTGTATGTGTGTATGTATGTATGGATGTATGTATGTATGTGTGTATGTATGTGTGTTTGTATGTTTGTTTGTATGTATGTAGGCTGGTATGCATGCATGGATGGATGTATGTATGCGTGTATGTATGTATGAATGCATGCGTGTATGTATGTATGGATGTATGTATGTGTATGTATGTATGCATGTATACATATATGTGTGTATGTTGGTATGCATGCACGGATGTATGTATGCATGTATGTATGCATACATGTTTGGTTGTATCTGTGTGTAGGTATGTATGTGAAGATGCATGTGTTCGTGCATGTATGTACATGCATGCATGAACCTGCGTACGTATTTATATATGTGTTTATGTATTTCTGTTTGTTTGAGCAGATGTAAACACTTATACAGATCTAATACGAGCAGGGCTGGATATTGGCGTGCCCTGGGGGGGAAGGGTCAGCGGCGCCGCATGCCTCGGCCCTGTCGCGCGCCGCTCGTGCCCGCACAGCGCCCTGATGGCTCACCTGGAGTCGAAGATGCGACTGTTGCTGCCGTCGGGCTCGACCCGAGGAGGACGAGGAGGAGGAGGACGAGGAGGGAGGAGGAGTGGTGGAGTAGGCGGCTGTGGACGAGGGGGGGAGGACGAGGAGAAGATGGAGGAGGAGGACAGACGAGCAGGAGAAGGATGAGGAGGAGGAGGAAGAGGAGAAGGATTCTGAAAAAGAAGAAACAACATAAGAGTGGAGGAGGAGGCGGATGTGGACGAGGGGAAGAGGACGAGGAATAGGAGGAGGAGGAAGAGGAGGAGGACGAGGAGGAGGAGGAGGGAAGACGAGCAGGAGGATAACGAGGAACAGGAGAGGGAGGAGGAGGCATAGGAGGAGAGGGAGGAGGAGGATGATTAGGAGGAGGATGAGGAATACTAATAATAATAGTAATAATAGCGGAAATATAAGAACAAAAAGAAGAATAGCAGTAGCAATAATCATATGAATACAACTAAGAACAAAAACAGAAGAGTGGAGGAGGAGGCGGATGTGGACGAGGGGGCGGAGAAAATAGGAGACGGAGGAGGAGGAGGAGGAGGAGGAGGGGGAGGAGGAGGGAAGACGAACATGAGGAAATTGAGGAGGAGGAGGCGGAAGAGGAGGAGCAGGAGGAGGAAGAAGAGAAATAGAGTAGAGGAGGAGGCGGATGCGGGAGAGGGGGGGGGGACAAGGAGAAGAAGGAGGAGGCGGAGGAGGAGCTTCGAACACGTATCGAATTGGTTCTGCAATTTCCCATGCCTGGAAGCCAATTTCGCGCCCGGGGACTCTCAGAAACCGCGCGGTTCCTAAATGAGCGCCTGGTCAGGATGGATTGCGGGAGGGGTCCCGGAATCGATGTTGTTTGGGTCCTCGAAAGGGGTGAGGAGGAGGAGGAGTAAGAGAAAGAGGAGGAGGAATGGAATGCAATGGAACGGAGTGGCATGGACTTCGATGTAACTCCTGGAGACTTGTGCTACAACTAGGCTGCGCCGTGCCACTGCCAATTGCTGCTGCACAGCTGCCTGCTGAAAAGTCTCCGAGGTGAGACCCGCACGACCTCCACAATTGCGACATAGGCCGCCGCGCTTGACGGCAACACTGGCCACGGGCCAGCAAACCCATTGGCGGGCACGCAGCCCACTCTTAGGGGGTTGGCTCTTGGGCGCAGGTCTCGTCGTTTCCTCCCCCCCTCCCACGAACGCGCCGCCTCCCCTCCCCCTCCCCCTCCCATGACCCCCGAATCCCCCCCCCTGTTACTGCTGGAGCCTCTCGAGGGAGGCGGCAAGACAATTTCAGGGGTGGCAGGGGGCTGAGAATGTGTATACACATTGGCCTTGTTGCGCATGCTACTCAGCACATCAGCCCTCACTGTGCTACGACTGACGCGTTCCTGAATCCCTCCGAACTGCCCAAAGAACGAATCGTGGCCTGCTGCAGGTCATCCAGGAAAAGCCCTCTCCAATGGGCCCCGCGGGGCCGCTCCCATCAGGAGGCACCCTCCCTCCATCTCGATCGGTCTCTCCACTAGGTCGGCCATGCGGGGGGGGGGGGGGGGCAACTCGGCACTTCGGCGGCACTTGTGCATCACGAGCGCCTTCGGCGGCTGGCCCTCCATCTTTTTGATTTACCCCCAAAAAAGATAACCCTTTGGGAGGGGACCTGAGCTAGGAGGATAAGACACATGAGGGATAAGGGAGGTCTGTTCTGAAGATGCATCAGGCCAAACCGCCCAGATGTATGATCCCTAATGTGAAGACGGGGACCTCAATGCGGCCACGTCTTGTTATTAGGTTTAGGGGTCCTTTCGTTCTCGATGAATCATCTGCACGCTCTTGATCCGAAAGATACCAAAGGCGCGGTACAGGACCTGCCTCCCCACGTTCTTTGAGTCTGTCCTCGTAGCAGTGATGGAGCTCATCGATCCATTTCTTGTTCTCCTGCTCCCCCCCGTGGTCCCGATGCCTCCGTGCGCCACTCCAAATACTGCACCGCTGCCATCGGCACCATGCGATGAGGGGGCCCTCAGTCCTTGAGCAGCTTCTTGGCCTCCTCGTCGCCCCATTATGCTTTCTCGCTGAAGACTTGGGAGGTGTCGTTGATTAGCCTTTTTCCCGCCGTCGTGCATGCCACTGCGTGCCCGCCATCGGCGGGAACATCCTTTTGTTTCCAAGACGCTGGCCAACATCTCCGCCGTCTCCCCGCAGCTGCTGAGCAGAGAGGCGGGCGACGACGCTCTGCAGTCCTCTGGGCTGCCGCTGCCCCTGCTTGGGCGAGCGCGTTCCACTACTCGCAAAGTAGCCGCTCGCACGAGCTTGTTTTTTTATTGGGGGGGGGGTAGCGCCCGTTACGGGGGGGGGGTCCGGCCCCAAGTTGGGGGTAACGGTAACGCGCGGCGGGGCTCTCGCACGGGCCCTGGTACTTATTACCAGCACAACTGTCGGCACGGTAGGCTTCGTCGTCGTCGTCGTCGCCGCTGTCGTCGTCGAAGCCTGGATCTGCCTCGCCTCCTCCCCCGCGCGCGCCAACTCTGAGCAGGGGAGGGCCGGAGGCCCGGCACGGCGTGCCGCTGCCGAGCCTCTCTCGGCCCCCCCCCCCCCGGCACGGCAGCTCCCGAGACCCAGACGAAGCTTAGGCTCAGGTCGGGCTCGTCCTCCTACAGGGGGATGTTCGACGAAAAATAAGAAATGCCCTAAAAATAATCAAACACTAATCCCAAAATAGTCCAGGCACTATCTTTTTAATATTGTTTGACCTTTTGGGGGGCATGTTTGGGGTACTTTCATTTTTCGTCGAAAATCCCCCTGTAGGGGGACACGCCCGACATAAGCTTAGGTCGGGCATGTCCTCCTACAGGCGGACTTCCTGGGCGAAAATTGAAGGGTAGTCAAAACATAGTCATCGCCAGAAATAAAAATAAAGATCGCCCCCAGACAATCCCACCAGCCCTCTGGGCGCAGGTGGTCTGGGGCGTTTCCTTTTCCAACCTCCTCCCGTTCCCTGCTCGGGAGGTTTACCTCCCCCCCCCTCCCTGCGTCTGGACGGGCTCCCCCGCGAGCGCGGGCGGGGAGGCCGAGGACCGAGGGGCAGGCCTCCGGCCACGGCCGGCCAGCCGCTGAGGCCAGTCCGAGCCAGAGCGGCTTGAGCCAAGGCTTGAGCCAGGCTACGGAATGGTGGGGATACGCGAAGAGTCAAGAATCGCGAAGAGTCAAGAGTTGTTCAACCATGTTTGAGTGTTCCTCCTGTAGGGGGACGCACCCGACTCAAGCCTAAGCCACTCGGGGGCGTGCCCCGTGACGAACAGAAACCTCCAGAGAGCGATCCCCGATCCAAGATCCTAGAGCCCTGAGCCGACGCCTTCCCCCCACCCAACGTTGCCCCTGCCCTGGCGCCCTCTCGAGGCACCGCGCGTGCGCGCGCCCCTTTGGCGCGCTGGAGGCCCAGCGCGCCGTCCCTCTGCCGACCTCGCTGTGAGCCACGGAGGTCCCCATGCCAGGACGACGCTTCGGCGGCTCGGGGGCGTGCCACCACCAGCCCAGCTCGGCAACGCACTACAGTTGAAACGTATAGTAAGGACGCGTGGTAAGGACGCAAGACCCTTGGAGGCCGAAGTTGAAGTATTCTGGGCGGCAGGCGGCCAAACCCCCAGGGAACCTGAGAAACTGGCCTGCGAAAATTGCTAGGGACGGGCCGCAGAGGCTGAGGCAGGCAAGGAACCAAGTGTACCCTTGAAAAGGTCGTTTGTCCTTACTATGCGCGTTGACTGTAGATTAAAAGAAGGTGAACAGAAAGCGAGGCGGAACCCGCTTCGAGAGCCATTGGCTCCACGCAGCCTGGATCGCGAGGTGGGGGCGGCAGTCGTGCTGCTGCCGAACTCTGGAGCCACGGAGGCGGCGCACGCAGACAAAAAACCGTGCGGTGACGGACCGCGTGGCGACCTCGGAACCCCCGACGACCTCACCGCGCGGTCCGTCACCAGACGGCCCGGGGGCCTCGCCCGAGACGTCCTCGAAGGGCGGCCCGAATGCCAGAACCCTGCGGTGACCCCGGATCCCCACTGACTCGCCCGCGCGGCGTGGCCACCACGCCGCCCCGGGGGCCCCCGAGGCGTGCGCCCCCTGCCCTCTCGCGGCGGCAGGGGGCTCGAGCGCCGGGCGAGGTCCTCCCAGACCCGCAGGATGCGCATCACCTGCGCGCGGAGGCGGGCCGCCCCGTGCGCGCAGGGGCGGCGCGCGCGGGGCGCGCGCGCGGCAGCGCCCGCGTGCCAAGCCCGACGTGCGAAGAGCTCCGTGCACAGGAAGCCCAGATCCTCTCGCAGCGTGAGTGCTCCGGATCGCTTCATTGTCGCCCCCCCCCCCCTGGAGTGCCAGGGCCTCCTCCTCCTCCTCCTCCTCCTCCTCCTCAAGTTCCTCCTCCTCCTCCTCCCTCCCGCCCGCCCGCCCGCCCGCCGGCCCGCCCGCCCGCCCACGTTCACACGGGGGCCTGAACCTTGTCAGTTGGTACAGGGCTTCTGCGTTTTCGTTTTGTTTTCGTTTTCTTTCGCTTTTGTCTCGAATCCGTCTTTACCGCAAAACGAAGTCGCGTTTCACGATGGTCACCCCCCAGTGGATTAAGAAGAGAAGCTCGGAGTAGAAACTGTCTTTGTCAGCAGCGCGCGCGGACGCTGACGCGTTCGAACCGCCGACGGGCCGCGCTGGGCTGCGCACGCACCAGGACAGCTGGAGAGGACGAGGGCGGCCGCAGCGGAGGGAACAGGGCGGGGGAGGCCTCGCAGAGCAGAGGGAGTCTGCGCTGCGAGGAGCTCGGATACAGCCTCGGGCACCAGGAGCCGGTGTGCTCGCAGGGTGTGCGGGGCAGCACGAAAACACAAAGCGGATATGTTACGGTGGGGGCACTTTTTTATCCTATCACCCTGGGGCTTATCATGCACAGACAAATTCAGATGCCGTCTTACGGCCCCGCAAACAGCGCTTGCGCGAGCCCGCAGCCCGCCAGGACCAGACCCCGAAGCGCGGCACCATCACACCGCGCTGAGGCCGACTTCAGGCCTGGGGTCCACCGACCTGGCCGCTCTGGCGGCCCTGCCTCGCTCCTGAGCTTCAGCAGCGCTGGCAAAGCCGAAGGAGCCCAGGGCTCCCTCGAGCCCTGGGCGAAACAGCCTCCCTGGGGCAGGCGGGGCGGGTGCCCGTTCCCGCCTTACTGGGGGCTCCACGCTCGCAAAGAGAAAGCGGTGTCCGCCGCCTACTGCTGGAGCTGCGCCTCGCGCCTCCGCTGCCGCTCCTGCCTGGCCCACGCCCTCCACGGGGAGCCAGGCCCGAACGTGTCACGGAGCCAGAGGCGCCCAGCTTCTAGCTCGGAGGCTGAGGGAGCTGGAGGAGCGTCGTCGCCGCCGTCGCTCTGCCAGCCCGGCCTCCGAATGTCACGGTCGACCGTGAGGGCCACTGTTCCCTCGAAGACGCGGCGGCGCAGCGCCAAGAGCCGCTTGGGCCCACGCGCGGGCTCCTGGCGCGCCACCGTCTCCGAGCCGTGGAGCGTACAGCCGCCACCGACGCCGCCCTCGCCGTCCTCCACATCGATCCCCCCGCCGCCAGAGCAGGAACAGGAACCCGAGGGAGGCGAAGTGAGGAGGGCGTCGTCGTCGTCCAGGCTCCTGCCGCCGCTGCGCTGGGGCCCAGCCACCTCCACGCCGTCGTCCGTGCCGAAGTGCGGGGAGAGGTCGAAGCCGCCGTGCGCCACGGTATCCGAGGCCAGAGCACTGTTTCCGTCCTGGTTGCGGGAGCCGTCCACCTGCATGCTGAGCTCGCCGTCGATGTCGCCAGCGGCCATCTCGCAGCCACCGCTGAGGACGGCAGCCTCGTTGGCCAGCAAGTACGCCGTGACGATCGAGGGGTCCACGAAAGCAGCAGGAGAGGAGGTGCAGGCAGTGCTGCACGCCGCACCAGGATCAGGGAGGCGATGAGGATGACCAGCACCACCTTCAGAAAGCCGAGGGGCAGGGTGCTCGCCGAAGCCGCCGCTGCTCTCAGGCCTGTGCTTGTCGAGCCCCATGGGCGCCGCCGCCACGGGAGCCTTCTGCGCCTCCTTGCTGTCGAAGTGGGTGCCGTGCGAGGCGCCGCCGACGCCGACTACGTCGCTGTCCTCGACGCTCCACTTCCACCAGCGCGGGCCCGAGGCCAAGGGCAGCGGCCTCGCCTCGGGAGCCCGCCTCGCGCGCTCGGCCAGCGCGAAGATGGCGCCAGGCGGCGCGCTGCGCCCGCGGTAGGCCCGAGCGACCGTCCAATCGCTCGGGGCCGCCTCGCAGGCGGCACGCGCCTCTGGCTGGCGGCGCGGCGGGGCAGGAGCGCCGCCTCGGAGAGGGGGGGCGACGCTCCTCCGACCGCTGCCGCACATGGGGGGCTGCACCGGCAGAGCGAGGTAGAGGAAGAGCAGCCCGTGCGCGAACACCAGCGCCGCGGACGCGACCGTGCCGAGCTTGCCCTCCGAGGTGTACCCGCCCCGCCTTCGCAGACCTCTGCAGGCGATTGAGGGAGGACTGCCGCATCACCGAAATGCTAGCGGCCCTCCTTGCTGCGCAGTGGAGCCCAGCGTTGCGCCGAGAACGGTGCAGCGGACCCACACCAGCCACCGCACGGCTGCCGCTGCCCCACCGTTCGCCTGCCAGAGCCTGGGTAGGCTCGCCCGCGGCCGTGCCAGCACCGTCGCCTGCACCCTGTAGCACGCCGCTGAGGGGCATGCTCTGGGCGCCGTCGACTCGGTGAGCGCTGGCGGCCGCTGCTGCCCGCCCGCTCCCCTGCTCTCCTTCGCCCGCTCCCGCAAGCCGCAAGGGCCCAGGAGGCGGCCGAGGGGCCGAAGAGGTGTCGGCTGCCGCACGCTGCGGGACTGCCAGCACCTCCAGGAGGACGGGGACCGCCAACGCCAGCCTCTCGGAGACCTCGCGGTGGAGCGCCTCGCTGGGAAGCTGGGCTGAGCCTTGGGCCGCCAGCGCCAGCGCCTGGGCCGCCGCCGCCTCGTGGGCGACCCGCAGAGCCGCGAGTTCCGCCTCGAGGACTGCGACGCGCCCCAGCGCCGCCCGCAGCTTGCCCTGGTCGGCCTCACGCGCCGCGGCCCGTCGGGCACGTCGCGCAGGCCAGAGCGAAGCCGCAGCCCCGCCGTGCTGAGGCGGCTCAGCTGCCGTACAGGCAGCTCGGCCGCCGCCCGCAGCCATCCCCCAAGCAGTCGATCTCTGCGGCCACCCGCGGGGCCCAAAACGAGAGCGCGCAAATGGGATCGGCTTGAGCCAAAATGGCTACGGACGGTGGGGGCATTGGATAAGGAACCCTTGGATAAGGAATCCAGGGTCTGGAGTCCGGTGGAACTCCAATCGAAGCTTGGCCATGGGTATCACCGCCGCCCTCACCAGATAAGGAATCTTCCATCGCCTGCGGCCTCCTGGACGCATTCCTGAACCAACATTTTCGGCCTCTGGGGGGTCTCACTGGACCCCGGAACGGCCACAGGAAAGGGTCCCTGGCTTCCGAGCTGGCGGGGGGGGCTGAGGCAGGACCCCTCCACCATCGAATCGGGGAGTCGGATCACATCGAAACCTGCGTCGGATGGAGCCGCATCGGCGCGGGGGCGGAACCGAATCCAATCGGATCGGCCGCGCAAGGATCCACACCGGCGCCATGCCGGCCAGAGCCGATATCGAATCGGATGGATCGGATCGAAATGGACGGCCCAGCCCTGGTTCTGGCCAGCAGAGCATTGGAAGAGAGAGGCCCCCTCGTCGCCAAGGCTGGACGCGGCTCAAGAAACTGGTCAGCTTCGACAACGGGGAAGGCTGGGGACATCTTGTTAGCGAATTCGCCCTCATCCCCCCTGATTCAATCTAGGCCTATCAAGCTCGGAGCCCGGGCCGCCTCCCATCCTGGCTGTTTTTCGCAAGTTTCGCGCTCCCGGGGCTCTGCAGGGGCCCTCTGGGCCGTCGGAACACTGCTCAGGATGAGAAGGTGGTCCTGGGGAGAACGCTCGGCGACACGCAAGAGTGACCCTAGGCAAGAGTGACCTTTGGCGCGAGGCTTTCTAAAGGGGGGGCCGCGGGGGGGCCAAACCCAAGCGCGCAAGACGCGACTATCGCATTGGGCTCCGCGATCGAGGCACCCCGGTGGGCCCGCACCGAGGGTCTCTCCGGCGAAGGATCTCTCGCACGTGCAGTCGAAGAGGCACGAGGTCCAGGACCCGTCTCTAGCAAGGACCGCTTCCCCTCGTGCCGAGGTGTGCGCACTACTCGCGAGGGCCACGGGCCGTAAGACGCTTCTGGCGCGCGCTTCGCGCACGCTCTCTGGCCATCGCGGCCTCGCGCGCGGCGTCGGGGCGGAGCAAGTCGAGCAGACGGCACGGAGCTGCCGCGCGCGGCCGGGCCATCAGACGCGGGACCGAGCGCACATACCACCCGGGCAGGGGGGGGGGGGGGAATTGAGACAGCGTCCGAAATCGGAGGCGGCAGTGCCGACGAACGACACCGACGGGGAGCGGAGAGCGTGCCTAGGCTGAGACCTGCCGAGCCGGGTGGCCAGGCGAGCCGCCCGCGGTGGAGGCGACGACGGAGGACGAAGAGGCGCCCACGCAGCCCCACGGTGGGGAGGCCGAGTGGGAAGACCACCGGCAGCGATGTGCTGCAGGAGGGCCGCGAACCCGAACGAAGCTAGCGCTGAGAGCGATTCAGACAAACACACACGCACACACATACAAACACACACACACAAGCACGCACGCACGCACGCACGCACGCACGCACTCACGCATGCACACACACACACATACACACAAGAAAACACGCACGCACGCACACAAGCACAAACACAAACACAAACACACACACACACAACACACACGCACGCACGCACGCACGCACGCACTCACGCATGCACACACACACATACACAAGAAAACACGCACGCACGCACGCACGCACGCACGCACACACAAACACACACACACACACACACATATAACACACGCACGCACGCACGCACACACGCACGCACACACACACAGACAAAAAACACACGCACACGCACACGCACACAAATGCACACACCCACGCACTCACGCTCGCACACACGCACGCACGCACGCACGCATGCACGCACGCACGCACGAACACACACACACACAAACAAAAAAACACACGCAACCACGCACACACCTACACGCACACGAACACGTACGCACAAACACACACATACAAATACAACTACACAGACAAACACAAGCACACACACACACACGCACGTACGCACGCACGCACGCACGCACACACACACAAACACACACACACACACACACGCACGCACGCACGCACGCACGCACGCACGCACGCACAACGCACGCACGCACGCACGCACGCACGCACGCACGGACGCACGGACGCACGCACGCACACGCACGCACGCACGCACGCACAGACACACACACACACACACACACACACACGTACACACACACACAGGCACACACACACACAAACCACACACCCACCCACGCATGCACGCACGCACGCACAAACACACACAGACACACGAACCAACAAACACACAAACACACAAGCACGCCAATACGCACACGCACACGAACACGCACACGCACACGAACACGTACGCACACACACACAAACACACACACACACACGCACGCACGCACGCACGCACGCACGCACACACGCAAACACACACACAAACGCAAACATACACACACACACGCACGTACATACTCACTTTTTGGTGGTACGAGAAGAACTGAATCGACGTTGCAAGGCCGCTCACGCGCGTCAGGGAAGTCCCAAGGGAGGGGCCCGGGAAACGAATTCTGAGCGTAAGAACCAGTCGTGAGAGCGATCGTTGTCTTAATTGGTCCTCCTCCGAAGACTGTCATGTCCCATGTGCCATTGCAACGGTGCAAAAAACTCATCAAGTCTACCCCTGACATCCATGCTTCTTTGGTCCATCCTTACCCAGGTTTGCTGGTCGCGTGCCGCTTGGGCGATTCCACTCTGAACGTCCAGGCGCCTTGCGTCTTTAGCTGTCATCCTTTCCATAGGTGTTCAGTGTAGCCTCGTCGGGGCCGCCTCCGAAGGGGGAGGAGGAAGGAGGAAGGAGGAGGAGAAGAGGAGGACGAGGAGGATGAAAAGGAAAAGGGCAGGCGAGAAGGAGGATGACGACAGCGACGATGACGACAACGACGATGACTACGAAGACGATCTTCGAACGATGACGGCGATGCGCCCCAAGTAGCATCCCCGACTCCGAGAGGTATCGAAGAGGCCTCCAACCCAATTAGGCTTCTCGCCCCACTCCGCTCAAGCCGCATATCCTTCCAGACGCGCTGCCACGACAACCGCTCAAGGCCGCCGAGTACAGTCGGGGCGTTGACCTAAGGAACCCAAAAAGAACGAACGAGGCCCCTTTCTTCCATAAGTTAACCTTCGATTCCCTGTCGAAAACATAAGGAAAGCCTGAGGCAAGCTGTGAAACGCTTAAGGAACGCGGAGCCCCTTCCCAACAAAAAGGGTTCCTTCTTCAGGGCCCCGACTGTAAAATATGTCGAATTCATCTCCCTCCAAGAAAGAGGGGAGGGACAGAGCATATAATTAACATAAGATACGGATGCTCAGGCGCGTTGAGACACGTTGTATACTTCTGGAACCGATCGTTGTCTGAGGCTGCCCGAGGTATCAAGATGATGCCAAGCTCCGCGATTTGGACAGCTCCCCTAGACATCGTTCCCGGATGGCCCGGTGGGGATACGCGGAGGTTTCAGAATTGTCTACAAAAGTGTTGGTCGTGAAAGCCTCAACCAATACAGTCCAGAGTGACCGTCTCTCCAACAACCTCAAAGCATCCACTAGGCTGCTGGAGTGTGTTTGCCATCCTTTGCTAGAATAGGTCGTCAACCTTCTCGCTGGCAGAAGCCAACAAGAACGGCACCAACGATTGAGCCAAGCGGTCTTCACGGATCAAGCGTGATAAAACGTGATGGTCCGTCCCTTGATGTCCGATTGGGATGCGATTAAACTTTGACGGATCGCATGTGCTCCACACTAAACCTCCCAGAAAGGTACGATCACATCAAGATACATAATATCCCCATTGGAAAACAATTCGCCCGCAGACCCTGGAGGTGGTGGCGGTGATCCAAGGGCAGCGCCAGAGTCGATCGTAAGGCCATCCCCTCCATTGGATAGTCCTGGGGGGTCTGGAGGTTGAGGCTGAAGATTGTTTAGGTGTGGAAGTTCGTCAAATTTCTCGACGTCGCCTTCCTCAGATTCGTCGCCGTCCCTGCCAATCGTTGCTCCTATGTCGCAAGCGAGCACGCCATCAATGTTGTTAGGAGGGACCGGGAAGGGTGCCATCAGATGGAGGGAATGGCGCAAGCAACGGAAACACGGAGGCACCGAGAAGGGCGGGTAATCCAGCCACAGAGGTTGAGGGTGTCTGGACGCAGTGGCTATGCCATGCCGTGTAAGATGCCCAATTCACTACGGTCAGGAACTTCTGCACAGCGTGTCGCGGCGGCGGCCCCGGCGACGCGCTACGCCCTGCGAGCGGATTCTGCGGGTGGGCTTAGCATTACCTTTCTTCGAGGGCGAAGAACATGTTTTTTCTGGGAGGAGAGGAGATGGGGAGCGCGCGATCACTGAATGGCATTACGGCGTGACGGGCACGGTAGCGTGAAGCAGAAGACAGCGAGGCACACTGGGATCGCTAAACGAGCCGACCTGCCATAGGCAAGCTCATGCGATAATCTGTGGCCTGATAAACTATGGTCTGAGGGCGAAGAAAACTACATAAGCATAAACTTCCAGAGCACCGCGCGGATTGCTCGGATCGGCGCTGGACCCCTCCCTGGCGCGCCAGGAGCGCGCCAGGGGCGGCGCCAGAGGCGGGCCCAGGCGGCGGTCCAAGCTATCCGCGCGGAGCTCCGACGGTTGTTACGTCCATGCCGTATTTTGTTCGAGGTGGGGGTGGTGTTGCCTCCTCTGGGCGGCCAAGGGGCCTGAACTGGTGAGGACCCCTGAAAATCGTCCACGAGGGGGGATGGAGCCAACTCCACTCAAAATCGGTCTCCGACTCCGTTTCACCCACGGATCCGTCTTGGACGGTCCCGGGCCCCCGGCCCGAACCTCCCGGAACCCAGAACCTCGAACCTGCCCCCACTTCCTGCTCGCTGCAACCAATGCTGGGCCACTGACTCAAACCCCCAGCTGGATCCAAGCGGGGGTGGTGTCGCCTTCCTCCTTCCCAGACCCCCGACGTCGCGATTTTTTCACGTCGACACCCAGAGGTCTGGACCCTTTCCCCAGGACCAGTCTTTCGTACCGAATCGTTTTTTCACGGTCCCGAGTCCAAGCGGTTGGCCCCCGGAGGCTGAAAATGACGAAAAACGTCCCGCCGCGATGTTTCACAACGCGAGGCAGTCTGGGTTATGCGTTCTCTCTCTCTCTCTCTCCCTCTCTCTCTCTTGCCTCGCCGCTCCTCCCCCCCGCCGCGCCCTCTCCCCGACACCCGCAGCGGCCCCGCGCCTGCTCCTTGGCCTTCTCGGCCTGCAGCTTGCTGTCCTCGGAGGCCCCCGGGCGGTGCGGCGGCCCCCACATCGGCCACGCGCAAGTCTTGCGGGCAAGATCGGCACACAGGTGCACTGCGCCTCGGACTCTCTGGGAAGGGCCGCCACAAGGCCGAGGCGCAGTGGATACGAAAACCAATACATCCCCACAGAAGGCCACATGTTCATACATGTGTATATACAATTACATAGATATCTACATACATACATACATACATACATACATACATACATACATACATACATACATACATACATACATACATACATACATACATACATACATACATACATACCGTGCGCCTCGGGCTTCTGGGGAAGGGGGCCCGAGACTCCAAGATGCAGTGGGTGTGGATACATAGTTATCTGGCCCGCAAGGCCGACCCTGGGCCAGGGCTCAGTGGCTCTTGGCAGCGACAAGGCCGTTGCTTCCTGGTTCTCGTGCTGCTGTTTGCTTCCGGGCTCCGGCGCCGTTGCTGCTCTGGTTTCGGCTACACGCAAGAGTGACCCTGGGTAAAAGTGACTTTTGGTGCGCGGTTTAGCGGGGTCCGCCTGGGGGCCAAACACAAGCGCGCAAGCCGGCGCCACCGCCTCGCACTCGGCGAATTTCGGCAACGGGGGGGCCCCGCTGGGGCCGCAATCACTCCGGCCAAGGGTCACTCTTACGTGTAGCCGATGGTTTTTCGTGGCCAATGTACTTCCGGTTCTAGCTCCAACTACAATCCCAGAGGCATTCGACTCCGTTTGGGCGAACTACTTCTCTTTCCGTTTTCATTATCAAGACCAAGGTCCAACGTGAACCCCTAACTGTGTGTTTCTGGCAATCTATGTTGCGCAATAGATGTGGTTCACTCTACGTGGTGCAAATCCCCAGTGCCCAACTTGAAGTTGACAACTCCACTGCTCGCGCAATCATCCCACCCACCTGCCCGCAACTTGGGCCGCAAACTCTATGCGGAGGAGATTGTGATGAGTGCTTCGTGTTGGCTGATGCATCTCTGCGGCCGCGCGCACGCGCGCGCATCGGCCAGCTAGTTTTGCGCGACAGACGCCGCCACGGTGGCGCTGACCGCTAGACACATCCCAGCTGGCACTTCATGGCGGGTCGGCGACTTGAGCGGGCATGGTATCATGGCAACGTCGACCACAGTAGAAACGATTATGATCGTAGACATGCTGGCGACGATGTATAAACAACGCAGGCAGCACGGCCAGTGACGGCGCCGATGCTGATCACGCCGACGACGATGACGGCGTCCTCGCGTCGGTGATGAAGGTTTTGGAAGGAATTCGACATGTGCGCGCGGCCGACACGCGAGAGTGGCCCGCATGGTACTATTTGACACGGACCGTGGCCCCCCCCAGCACGCGCGCAAGGGCGCCCTAATGATTCCGGCATGCTGGGCGAGAGCCCCGTTTGGCAGAATTCAATGAAAATGTTGAAACACCTGGTTATCTTGCAAGAACGCGAGCGCAGGCTTTTTTGAGAACTGTTGTTGCGAAACCATGTGATTCTCACATGGATTCAGAACACTCGGTTTTGAAATTCCTACGAAACCTATAATGTTTGAAGAATTTCGGCATGCGCGCGCGACGACGCGCGCATGCGCATTTCGTCCCATTCATTGCAAAGGATTATTGCGACAACGCGCGCGAAAAAACATGTGAACGATTTCGACACGCGCGCGCGAAGTCCGCTTCGTAGCATGGTGCGAAAATGTTGAAAACCTATGGCTTTCCTTGGGAATTCGCAAGAGCGCGCACGCAAGCTCTTTTTGAACATTGTTGCGAAGCCACGTGTTCTGATGTGTTTTGGACACTCGGTCTTGAAATCCCTATGAAGCCTAAGACTTCAAAAAGATGTCGGCATGCGCACGCTACGACGCGCGAGTGCACTTCGTCTCATTTGCTGAAAGGGGTTTTGATAACTGATGAGTTTGATCAACGAGCGTGCGCGCTAGGGGGCCACATGCGAACCCTACCCCTACCCCCCACGATTTCCGAGGGGTAGGGTGGGGTTCACTTCGTTCGGGAGCTCCCGAGCGAAGCGAACCCCACCCTACCCATCAGAAATCGTGGGGGGTAGGGGTAGGGTTCGCATGTGACCCCCCAACGCGCGTAGTATGGGATGAGGGGGGGTCGATACCGAGATCGCATGGGATGGTACGGACTCAGATTTAGGATGGACGATGGGGCAAAATCATATGTACATTGCAACACAAAAAGGTGGCCCGTTCACCCCGTGGGGATAGATCCGAATTATGTATTTGAAAGGATGACCTATGCTGCAATCTAGGTTGTGCAATATGTGTTGCGCAATCTATGCTGAGCAATATGTGTTGTGCAACCAATGTGGTGCAATCTAAGATGTGCTATGTAAGTGGAGCAATCTGTGTTGTGCAGTCTATGTGGGGCAGTACGTGTGCTACAACATGAGTGGTACAATCTAGGTTTTGCAACCTGTGTTGTAAAATCTACGTTGTGCAATATACGTCGTGCAACGTATGGTGTGCAGGCGATGCGGTGCAATATGAGCTGTGTAATATATGTGGAGCTATCTAGGTTGTGCCATGAACGCGGCAAAACTACGAGGCGCATTTTATGTTGCCCAGTATAGATTGAAGAATCCTTGCGTTGTGCATTATATGTGGTGCGATCTATGTGGTGCAATTAATTTCTGTTCGCAATGAGTTGTCCACTCCACTGCTCGCGCAAACATCCCACCCACCCACCCGCAACTTGGTTTGCAACATCTCTTAAGACCGTGACGGTGGGTACTACATGGCACTTGGCAACGACAGCGACGCCGACCACGACAGCGACAACGACGACGACGACGCCGCCGACAACGACTACAACGACACCAACGACGTCTCCAACGACTTCGACGACGCCGACAACGACAACAACGACGACGACGACACCGACGACGACGCAGACGACGACACCGACGCAGACGACGAAACCGACGATGACAACGACAACGACGATGACAACACCGACGGCGACGACAACAACGACACCGACGACGACGACGACGACGACGTCAACGACGCCGACGACGACGACGACGACGACGACAACGACGACGACGGCAGCGACGACGACGACGCTGACATCAGCGACGACGAAGACGACGACGACGCCGACGCCGACGATGACGATGAAGACGACGACGCCGTCGCCAACGAAGACGACGACGAGGGAGGAGGGAGGACGACGACGGCGACAACGACGACAACGACGACAACGACGAGGGAGGAGGGAGGACGGCGACGACGCGAACGACGAAGAAGGAGGAGGGACGGCGACGCTGATGATGACAACGACGAGGGAGGAGGGAAGACGATGATGATGATAACTACGAAACCTTGTGTTTTTGTAGGTTTTTGGACACACGATTTTGAAATCCTTCCGAAACCTATGGGTTTTGAAGGATTTCGGCATACGCGCGCGACGACGCGCGCGTCTGCACTTCGTCACATTTTTTGCAGAGGATTCTCGCGACGGCACACGCGCAAGGGCGCTCGACAGATTTCGACATGCGCGCGCGAAGCCCGTTTGATAGCATTTTGTGAAAATCGTCAAAAACCTATGGTTTTCTTAAGATTTCGAAAGAGCTCGCGCGTAATCTTTTTCCCAACCATCCTGTGGTGTTGGGTCCTCGTTTTGAAGAGACAGCGCCCCGCGTTCACTCCTCCTCCTCCCGCTGCCCCCTCCCTCCTGCCATCACCATCATCATCACCATCATCATCATCATCATCATCATCATCATCAGCATCATCGTCATTATCACCATCATCATCAACCCCTCACACGTTTTCGTGGCCCCATAGGGAGCTCCAGCGAAGGCCCCAGTGGCTGCGCTCCCATGCGCCCACCGCACCCATTTCCGCACACCCCTCACACGTTTCGTGGCCCCATAGGGAGCTCCAGCGAAGGCCCCAGTGGCTGCGCTCCCATGCGCCCACCGCACCCATTTCGGCACACCCCTCACACGTTTCGTGGCCCCATAGGGAGCTCCAGCGAAGGCCCCAGTGGCTGCGCTCCCATGCGCCCACCGCACCCATTTCGGCACACCCCTCACACGTTTCGTGGCCCCATAGGGAGCTCCACGAAGGCCCCAGTGGCTGCGCTCCCATGCGCCCACCGCAAAGATTTCGGCACACCCCTCACACGTTTCGTGGCCCCATAGGGAGCTCCATCGAAGGCCCCAGTGGCTGCGCTCCCATGCGCCCACCGCACCCATTTCGCACACCCCTCACACGTTTCGTGGCCCCATAGGGAGCTCCAGCGAAGGCCCCAGTGGCTGCGCTCCCATGCGCCCACCGCACCCATTTCGGCACACCCCTCACACGTTTCGTGGTCCCATGGGGAGCTCCAGCGAAGGCCCCAGTGGCTGCGCTCCCATGCGCCCACCGCACCCATTTCTGCACACCCCTCAAACGTTTCGTGGCCCCATAGGGAGCTCCAGCGAAGGCCCCAGTGGCTGCGCTCCCATGAGGCTCAGACGACGGCCGGCGACGGGGCGGCGACGGGGCGGCGACGGCGGCAACATGGCCGCCAGAGCGGCAAACAGGCCAAGACGACGGCCAGCGACGGGGCGGCGACGGGGCGGCGACGGCGGCAACGTAGCCGCCAGAGCGGCAGACAGGCCCAGTTCCTCAGAGAAGAGAAGGAAGAACCCCAGAGTGCAAGCACTGTCTGGGGAGACGCGGCCAAGACGCTTCCAAGAACCACCAGGTGCAGGGCCGTGGGGGGCGCGGGGCAGCTCAACCCGAGCGGGCAAGCTGCTGCTGTCGCGCCGCATTCTGCGATCCAGGGGCCCCTGTATGCCCGCACCAAAGGTCACTCCGGCGATAGGTCACTCCTACGGCTAGACGATCACCCCCCCCCCCCTGGTGGTGTCAAAAAGTGGCTCTCGGTGGGAGGACGGTTGTGGAAATTGGGTCGCTGTTCGAGGATGCCTCGAGCGCCGTGGTAGCTCCCAGGTCCCAAGACCATCCGTCGACGGCCTTTCTGGTGAAGTCCTCGAGCCTTCACCACACGGTAGTGGGAACCCTGATGTCCGCCCGCGAGACGGCAATGCGTCGTTGATGCATTGGCGAAGCCGGGATCGAAAAAAACCTGGCTCCATGTCGCGCCGCATTGGTGATGTATCGGCGATGAGGCGTAGTCCTCCGACTCCATCTAATCCCGCCCCATTTGTCAAGTATGGATGTCCGCTCGCGCGATGGCGATGTTGAAATGCTCCATGATGTCTGGGAGCGACTTCTCAAACTCGCGGCGGTACGCCCAGGCCTGGCATGGGCCGGGCGGCCCGAGAGGCAGACTCGCATACCCTCGGGTTCGGGTTTGGGTTCGAGCGCGTCGTCCTCCGCCTCTCTCTTCCTACTACTGCCATCTCCTACGCTTCCTCCTCGTCCTCTTTCTCCCCCTCCTCATCCTCCTCCTTCTCCTCCTCCTCACCACCACCATCATTGTCACCACCACCACCACCATCACCATCATCATCAGCATCAGCATCAGCATCAACATCATCAGCATCATCATGGTAACCCTCATCATCATCATCATCATCATCATCATCATCATCATCATCACCACCATCATCAGAATCAACATCACCATCACCATCACCATCGCAACCACCATCATCACCACCACCACCATCATCACCATTTACAACAACATCATCGTCATCATCGTCATTATCATCGTCATCGTCATCATCATCAGCAACACCATCATCAACATCATCAACACCATCAGCATCATCATCGTCATCTTCACCACGACTCTCCTACCCATCATAACCGTCATCACTGTCACCATCAACATCACCATCGACGTCACCATCATGACGCGGATCGTCCTTCTGCTCCTCGCTCCAACTCTCCCCCCGCCGCACCACCAGACGGGTCCGTAAGTCTTGGTTGGGCGTTTCGCCTGAGACTTCCTTACAAGAGAATTCGGGGACGGCCAAGAGGGGGGCGTCCAAGAGGGGGGGGGCGCAAATCATGGCTGGCGGCACGTGCGCGGTCCAAGGGGGGGCCAGGGACGCAATGAAATAAGAGGAGGCGCCATGAAATCTGAGGAAATATCATGGCCCACGCCATGGTACCCCCCCCCTAATCATCACCCCACTCTTTGCCGCCCCTGAAGAGTATCCCGAAGATCAAGTACCCGGGGACGTACCCAACCGTTCAACAACAGGAGGCGGCTACACCTCCAGGGCCGCTTCATCTAGCAGGGCATCGCCTGGATCCGCGGCACCCTTGACCGCCTCGCTGAAAAAAAAGAAGTCGAACCGGAGCCAAACGTTCTCCTCTCGCGGCATGACTCCCGCGGCTCGCGTCAGAGGCGGGCGGGCGACCACGAGCAGGCAAGGGAACCACCGCGACGGGCGCGGAAGAATATACAGAGGAGGGAGGCCTGGGGAACCGACTACTCCCCACTCCGCGACAGAGTGGGGGCGGTTTAATTGAGGGGGGGGTATCTGATTTGAGCTGTCTTGGAGGGTTCCAGGGGGTCTGGGCAAAAGGCTGCCCTTTCGTGGCTGGTCTGGAGGGAGTCTGGAACGACTGTCTGGGAGGGTTGTGACCCCCTCTCTTTTATTACGAAAGCTGGAGTAGTGGGAGTAGCCGCGAGGCGCGCTACATTCCAGTTGCAGAACAGCGCCGTCCGCGATGTAACCAGACCTGCGCTACAGCCGAACATATGATCAAGAAGAGTATGATTTAAGAAACCTGGGCCAGCTTTCCAGGAAGTGTCCTAAGACAAGCCAAGGCCAAATGTTCGTGGTAACGCTGGAGGGGCGAGTACGCCGAAGAAACTGGGCCAGCTTTCCGGCAAGTTGAGTAAGAAACGCTGGCCCAGCTTTTCGGGAGGAGGCTTCTTGATCTGATGCTCGACCGTGGTGTCCAGGGAGCCGTGAGGTCAAGGGACCCCCAAGGGAGCCGAGAGGTCTAGCCTGGATGCGCGTAAGACACCAGTCCGTTGGTCCCCCTCTGGGGCCCACCAGAAGCGCCACAATTACACAGTTCGCAGTCCACCCAGCGGCCGAGAGGTCTAGTCTGGATGCACGTAAGACACCTGTCCGTTGGTCCCCCTCTGGAGCCCACCAGAAGCGCCACACTTACGCAGTTCGCAGTCCCCCCGGAAAGCCGAGAGGTCTAGTCTGGATGTGCGTAAGAAACCACTCCGCTAGGCCCCCAGGGCACCATGGAACATCGTCACAGTTTCGCAGTTTCGCAGTCCCCCGGGGAGCCTGGATACGCGTGAAAAATCATTCCGCTGGGGCCCCCCGAGGGCTCACGAAAGTGGCGACAGTCTCACAGTTCGCAGACCCCCAGGGAGCCGCGAGGTCTAGTCTGGATGCACGTAGGACACCACCACTCCGCTGGGCTCCCAGGAACCCACGAAAATGACAACGCCTGTGTCTCAGTCCGCAGCCCCCCAGGGAGCCGCGAGGTCGAGTCTGCGCGTAAACCACCACCCCGCTGGCCCCCCGGGGGGCCCACGAAAAAGGCCACATCCTCATAATTTGCAACCCCCCAGGGAGCCGCTGGATGCGCGTGAGACGCCACTCCGCGGGCTCCCCCAGGAGCTCACGAACATCGCGACAGCTTCGCAGGTCGCAGCCCCACAAGGGGGCCGAGGGGTCGAGCTCGATGTGCGTATGTCAACGCCCCTCTACATTCCCGCAGTTCACAGCTCCCTTGGGAGCCGAGAGGTCGAGTCTGCATGTGCGTGAAACATGACCCCCGCTGGGCCCCCAGAAAACAACGAGCATGGCGACAACATCACGTGTTGCAGCCCCCCAAGGAGCCGCGAGGTCTAGTTTGGACGTGCGTAAGACACAACTCCAGTGGGCCCCCAGGACCCATGAACATCGCGACAGTCTCGCAGTTCGCAGACCCCACAGGGAGCCGAGAGGTCGAGTCATGATGTGGGTAAGACACCACTCCGTTGGGGGGGGCCCAGGGGCCCGCGAAACTGGCGACAGCGTTGCAGCTTCCAGCCCCCGAGAGAGCCGAGAGGTCTAGCCTGGATGTGCGTGAGACACCACTCCGCTGGGCCTCAGGGGCCCACCAAAGGCGCGACGGTCTCGCAGCTCGCAGCCCCGCAGGGAGCCCTGATGCCTAGTCTGGATGAATAAAACACTACCCCGCTGGCCCCCTGGGAGGCAGCAGCACAGGCGACCGTTTCGCACTTCGAAGCCCCCCAGGGAGCCGAGATGTTGAGTCTGGATGCGCGTAAGACACCACCCCGCTAGCCTCCCCAAGGGGCCCGTGAAAGTGGCGACAGCGTTACAGTTCGCAGCCCCCCGACGAGCCAAGAGGTCGAGCCTGGATGCATTCACCAATCCGTTGGTCCCCCTCTCGGGGCCCACCAGAAGCGCCGCCACGATTACGCAGTTCGCAGTCCATGGGTAGCCGAAAGGTCTAGTCTGAATGTGCGTAAGACACCACTCCGCTGGACCCCCAGGAGGCCGCGGAACTGGCGACTGTCGCGCAGCCCCCCCAGGGACAAGAGGTCTAGCCTTGACGCGCGTAAGACACCACCCCAATGGGCCCCCAGGGGCCCACGAAAAGCTTGACAGCTTTGCCGTCCGCAGCCCCACAGGCAGCGGGAACAACAAAGCACGAGGCAGACGGAATAATGGCAAGGCATTGAGAAGAAAAGGAGGCGGGAAGGAGACGAGCGAGTAGTGCTCTACCCACAGCGAGAACCCAACACAGGAGGGTTGGGAATGCACCAGGACGCCAGGGGGATGAGGCAAAGAGAGGGGGGGCGGAGGAAGAAAGACTGCACCCTGGGGGCCACGCGTGCCTACGAAGCGCCCGACTCAGCCGGAATAAATCGGCGGCTGGGCGTGCGGCACAGGAACCGTTTTGCGCCGAGCGAGGGCCGGGGCTGCGCGGAGCGCGGGCGCCATCGCGTCGGGGGCACGGTCGGCAGCCTGCTTCGTGCTGCCGCGAGCGTGAGGCAGGCAGCGGCTCGCAGGACTGCACGGAGCAGCGGGAGAGTGCTCCCTCGCTCGCCCCGGCCCGCGGCTGCTGGAGGCCGCGGGAGCACGATGGGGTGGAGGGGGGGAGAGCGGGCCCATGGGCCAGGGGCGGCGCGCGAGGACGGGGCATAAAGCGACGCGAAGATCGGGACAAAATCGGATCGGGATCACTCGTATTGGGCGCCGCGGCCGCTCCAGAGCGTTCCGGAACGCTCTGAGAGCGCTCCGGAACGCTCTGGAGCGATTTATCCCGATCCCAGCCCTGTTTTAGGGCAGGAGAGGGCCGCGGGTGAGCGAGCCTGGCGCGCCAGCGCATCCAAAGGCGCACCTGCGCTGCGCGAGCACGCGCGTGCGATGGGGCGCTGCCCCCCCACCGCTGGCGGCCGCGGACGCGGCCGGCCTCCCCCCGCTCGGGCGCACCTCTGCGAGCGCCCCGGCGAGCGCAGGCCGGCGAGCGGCAGGCGCAGAGAGCGGCGGAGGGGGGCGCGGCGAGGATCGGGTCGGGCGAAAGGGGGGGATAGCAAAGGGGGGGGTTGAGAATCAGCTCTCGTAGCTGATTTTCCCGGCGCCTCCCGGCGCCGGGAGGCGGCCATGTATCCATGAATGGGCCCCTCGGTGGGGCCGAAACCAGCTGCATGCAGCGAATTTCGTACCCCCCCCCCCCCCTTTCCCATCCCTCCTTTTCGTCTGGCCCGAGAGGAGGCGCCCCAAGCTGCGGGGCGCTGCTGCAGAGTTTACTGGGAAGGGCGACTGGAAGACTGCGCGACGCAGCGCAGCAACTACAGTCGGGGCGTTGACCTAAGGAACCCTAAATGAGGAACGAGGCCCCTATTTCCCATAAGTTGAACTTCGATTTCGTATCGAAAACCTAAGGAAATCCAAGGCAAGCTGCGAAACAATCAAGGAACACGGAGCCCCTCCCCAACGAAAAGGGTTCCTTCTTCAGGGCCCCGACTGCATGCTGGAGGCAGGGAACGGACGAGCGGCTGGACGCTGGGACAGAGCATGCCAGCAGTGCGCGAGAGCGCGCGGCTCTTCCCAGAGATAGGGGGCCACGAGCCAGCAATCCACCAAGGGAGTGAGCAGACTGCGATTGCTCCACACGCCGCGTCGCGCGGGCGCCCGAGGTAGGACGCCCACTCGCCCCGGGGCGCATGGAGAGCAGAGTGGATTGCGGCAGCGGTAGCGGCGGCTAGGGGGAGCGCGGAACAGGAGGAGGGATCCACTCCGCCATGGGTCGACTTTGGGAAAAGGACCCCGGCGGCACGCTGAGCATCTTTTGCAAAAC